TATACCAGCTGTAGTTTCTGGGTCATCTCCAAAGGAAGCTCTATATACAGCGGTACTCCAGTATATACAGCAGTATATACAGGGTGGTGCTTTGGGTGTGAATTACAGATGTAATTGTAACCTGGTACAGGTAGGGTTATAACTGGTACACCTCCTGAAGGTAGAGAAAACCCCCTATGGTTATAGCTTCTCCCTGCTGCTTGAACAGGAACTGAGAATCAGGAAAACCCCAAGACTAGCTTCTTTGGAGGAAACATGACCCCATCAATCGTGACTACCAGGATCTCTGTTATTGGAATGCCCAGATGTTTACCAAAGACTAGCAAATCAATCTGTCTTGGTAGGATTTAGTCTGGCCTTGTTTTCCCCAATCCAATCCCTCAGTTATATTGGTTCAACTGGTGATAGAATTTTTTTTTTTTTTTTTTGCTTGCAGAATTTCTATTTGAGTGTCTCTTCTGCATGAATGAAATTCTCATTTGGTCAGTTTATTGCTGCCTGTTGCTCCTGACTGAGGAACAGCTTTTCTTTTCCAAATGCCACACTGTTTATGGTAAATAATCACTTTTCATATAGGATAGAACTTCTGTTGTGTCAGTCAGTATTTCTATATAAACTACTTTCATCAATCTTTAACATTTTCTTTATCCCAGGCATACAGCCTCTTATAAAGAGCCTGAAAGAAACCTTCCATCTTAATAATACAGAGTTGCAAAAACAAGGACTTCTGCTTTTTATTGAAATTTTGAACAAGTAAGAGATATCAACTTCCACTTGGCTTTAGTTTGGAAAATTGGAGCAAAGGAAGCAGCTTTCACTAAAGTTATATCTGGGAGGATAAATATTTCAGGGGAAAGAAATATGTGTATATAATAAACATGATTTAATATGATGAAGTTTTCACCAGTCTTAACACGAACTTGAAACTTGAAAAACTGTTTTCTTTTTCAAGTCATGAAAATAGGAGTCAGTTTGTGAAGTCAGTTTATACATGGGGGGGGGGTTTGGATGATGATGAGTCTTGCATATTATATGAAATTCTTCTAACTTCTTATTTGTCAGTATATGGAATTTTTACATTTTGTAGTGACAAACTCATTTTTCACAATAGATTTAAGTGGTGGAGAACCTTTGGTATATTTAGTATATATACATAGGTTTTATGGGTAGAATAATAATTTCTAATTTAATATAATCACTGCTTAGACTCCTTCAAGATTGAAGTGGTTTATACATTTCATAAATAAATAAATAAGTCACCCTCTGGGGGAGATGGGTGGCATATAAATTTAATAAATAAATAAAACCTAAGTAATTGTGTACAATAATTTTAGATTAGGCATCTGTATATTTGGATTTGAAATGTCTTGAGCTCATACAGGCAGTTCCTTCAAGAAAGGGTCACAATCCGTACTGAAAGTGTTTTGAGTTTGGAGAATTTCTGGTATGGTTGAAACAGCTTATCTTGAACTTGAATTTGAAATACCATACTTTATAAAAATGTTAGGGTGTTGTAAGCTTTTAATTTCTGTTACGCTGATATTCAAAGTGATATACACTATTACAAAGTTTTTCTGTTGGGTAAAAACTTTGAATATTTTATTTAATTTCAGGCAACCAGTAGAAATCAAATTATTTACAAATATTGCTGTACTTAAAGATGCTATTAGTATTCTTTTGGAAGCTGTGAAATGCCCTGCTATTGAAGTAGCAGCCGAAGCTGTGAAAGCTGTGACTGCAATTTTGAGGTAAATTAAAAGTGTTTTACTAAGTGTTGAAGGAATACTTTATTTATTATCTGGAAGATATAGATACTTCCCTTAGCTCTGCATCTTCTTTTATAACTTTCTGCCAATTTGTCCCTTACTAGCAAAACTCTTTAAGACTTAGGCTAACAGGATGTGGATATTCTATAACATGCATCTTGTTTGGTAGTATATTATGACCAAAGTACGCCCAAAGTATTCATTTGGACAAAAGAGAAATGACTAGTATGATTTTAGCAGGAAAAAAGGTACGTAAATATCCTCCCTCTATTCATTGTTGATTTGTTCACAGTATTTCTCTCAAATGCTTTTCTCAATAATTAAACTGACAGCAAAAAAGTGTTGGGGATAGTGGCTATGGATAGTGAAAATAAGATTAATTAAATAGGTGGGAAATGTAACCAAAGATTGCCATTCATTCATGTATTTTAATTGTAATAATTAATTTGAAAAAAAATATTAGTGTTAAAACAGGAAATAAGATTTATAAGCTTTTTGGAATGGGGCACTTTTGTCTTCAAACATTTAAAACTATTACCACAATGTTCAGGTTAACACTTATTTATACTATTATCCTTGCTTAACATTTTCCTGCTTTTCTTAGCACAGAAAGGATCATGTAAGCTTTCCACCTATACGATATGGACAACTACAGAAATTGATTGAAACCATATTAATGCGATGTAACGATCTCCCACTGGCACCTTTTAGTAAGAGGCTGATGGTTAGTCCCTCGTAGCTCTTTTTTTTTCTGATTGAATACCAGTAAGCTGTAATATATATGATACAGTTTGTATTTAACTGTTCTTTTTTTTAATCTAACAGAAAATTTGATGAAAGTGCTCCCATCCCCATATATTGAAGCAGTTGAGTCCTCCTTTTTTCTAAAGATGATTCTTTGCATCTGTTAAATGTACCTTGGACCATGTTTGCACACTATTATTTTATGAATGTAATTATTAATCTAAATATTGGGGTATGGTAGCTTAAAATATGCTTAATGATTTCTCTTTTTTCAACATCACAGGATCATCAAGGGGGTAGATGTAAGAACAGAGCAGTTTCACAACAGGCACAGTTCTTGCAGAGTGCCTTAGAAAGCTTCAGAAATGCTTGTAGGTGAGAAAGGGTTTTGTTCAACTTTGCTGATGCTTGAAATGGTTAGAAAAATCCATTTAGAAACTCAAATATTGCATTAAATACACAAATATTATATTTAATACACAATTTATTTACATTTATATGAATTTACAGTGGAAAAGTGCTAAGTTCATGTTTATATATGAACATAACCCTCAGTCATACTTGACCTTTGAGGACTTCATGGACATATCCATGTAGGTTTGTTAGCAAAAATACAGAAGTGTTTTGCCATCAACTTCTGGGATTTTTTTTTTTTTTTAATATCTTCCCAGTCCTGCTTATAGTTGTGACATTCCCTGGAGATCTCACATCGAAGTACTAACCAGGCTTGACATTGTTTAACTTTTGAGTACAGACAAAATTGGCTGGGTACTGCTATTGACTGAGATAAATAAATGATTGAAGGGGCTTCAGGTAGAATTCTTATTTTATGCACATATGTTGATACAATAGCTGTCTATCAAGAAGATTTAAAAAAAATTTTTTTTTAAACCTGATCATGTGATTTGAGTTTTATATTTGTGCTATATCTAGATATTATGTAATACAAGACTTTAAGCTTATTTTATTTAGCTATCCTTAATCTTGTCAGGTATGAATGGAGTCTTATTCATTTATTTGTCCTTCTATGCTTGTACCCTGCCTTTCTTCCTGGAAGTTCAAAACTGGCCATCTCAGGTTATCTCATATTATGCTTACAACTACCTTGTAAGATAGACTGGGCTAAGAGTTTAAATCCTGTTCACATCTTCAAAATAGAAAGAGAAGTTGGGTCATGCCTACTGATTTCTATTGCAGAGAAAGTGAATAGAACTCTTTCTCTGTACAATTCTATGTCTGATCAAAGATAATGTTTGCATGAAGAAGTAATTTTATGTGTAGAATTCTACTGACATTTCAGTTGAACATATTTAACTGGGTCTGACATTGTCTCTTACTATGTATTTAATTAAATATTTTTAAGTGGTAAGCTGATTTATATATGACAACACAGTTAACTTTGTCATTGGAAAAAATGTATGCACATACACATGCATTCCAAATCTTGTGCTCCAGCAACAACAAAGGTTCTTCAGGATTAAGCAGAGCCAGATTTAGGCATATTGCAAGTTTAGCAAGCTACATCGTAGGATTCTTTACAGCCTGAAGGGGCCTCTCAAAATTTCAGAATTTTTGTAATTTGTTATAGTTTTATTATAATTTCATAAATGAAGGTCTCCATAAATAAAGCCTCCTATATGGCTCATATGATTCTCATTAACTGATTAAAGCATGCTTGGTTTCTGCATGCATTCACACCTTCTGTTCATAGAGGGCCTTTCCTCATCCCGTCATGGATTGTTATGCATCTTGGCAGCATTCTTACCAAGTTATACAACCTTCCTCTATTACCATTTGCCTTTAGAGCTTCTATGGCTTTCCATAGCTTAGGGCCTCAGCATGTTGAAATTTGATGCTGGGATTAAGGGAAGATGAAGAAATATAATATAGCTTGTAACTAATGGGTTTTATAACTTTTTAGCTTAGCTGTGCAATACCAAAAGGATCCTCTGGCTCAGGAGAACACTTTTACAGCTCCAAACTCAGAAAATATTGATACATTGAAAGGATTTTCGGAATTTCTTCTAAGGATATCTGATTCTCTTTGCATCCCCATGGTCATGGTAATTATTTTCACGATGTCCTTAACATCAAGTAGGTCATATAAATGTACAGGAAAGCAAAAAGAAAGAAAGAAAAAGAAAATAGTTGAATCTTTAGGTCATATAGAAGAAATTCTGGCAAAGTTTAGTTAATGGAGGCAAAGTTGCTATGTCCTCTGCTTCTGATTTTTATTAAATAAGTAACAATGAGGAGCATTTATAAATCCAGTTAATTCTCATACTCTATTTCACATCTCAAGTCTTGTTAAGAAAACAAGTTGTTTTAGGAAAAGAGCTTTCAGCTACAATAGATTATATTATGCAGCTTAGAGTTATAGGCCTGCTAGGTCCATACTAATTTGCATTTCTGAATTGCATTTCACTATTTTCTGTAATAGGAATAATATGTCTATATGTTCTTGTAGAAATATTCTGAAAGGGCTGTGCACCCAGGTGTCATGGAAGTCTTCCTTTCAACTCTCAGCATCCTGTTCAATGTTATGCCAGACATGCGTAAGAGTTTCTCCATTAAGATGGGTAAGGAGAGCTGGAGCAGACTACTTTCAGAAGTATGATTAAAATATGTATTCTTTTTATTGTTGAACTTTAATGAGTCCAGAAATGCAATTAAAATCCTAAATAAATGTGCTTCTAATCATATGATTCAGTAAATAAACTGCCTTACCAAGATTGGTGGCTCCTAGTGCTACCAATCTTTGTTCTTCTGCTATAAATACTGGCAGAACTGCAAGTGACTTTCCATAGTTTGGTAGATATAGCAATTCCTGTGAGTGTTATGTTTGCTACCACAGCAAACTTAGGAAATATTAAAAAAGGCAACCCAGGTGCATAGGCAGGCTTTACTGATAGCTTGCAGGTGATATCAGGAGTAAAGAGTTACTGACACATGCATAGCTGGCTCATTTTACCCATTCCTTATATTCTACCCACAAGTGATACATTACATTACAACTCATAACAGTGAGCATATGTTCATTTTAGAATGTGTTGCAGAGGTACGTAGGCAAGGCAGAGTAATTTACTTGGCACACCATTTATTGAACAATATTTTTCTATTATTTACTAAATAATACATTTATTAAATAAATTATTGGATTTGTTCTAAGATTTTTACTGAGGTACATCTTCATGCACATTTTTAGAAAGTTAAATTAAAACTTTGCTTACCAAACTATCAGGAAAATGGTGCTGAAATGATGACAAAAACAGTACTTTATTGGTCTCGAAAAGATGTGCTAAGAAGTTTTTTTAATTCAAGCACTATTGCACACACAATTACTTTTTTAAAAAATAGACAAAATGCACTTATCATTTTAATTCAAATATTTTGCATGAGTAGAATTATCTTTCTCCTTAGTATCTTCTTCTTTCATCCAACTGAACCTGGAATTGAAAGCCAAATTCTGCACTGGACAAAGGTATTTAATTTGATACTAAAATTATGTCATGCTCAGTTCTGTTCAAACATTATTTTTACTTAAATAGATCTATCTCCAGAAATTCCTAGGGACTTTGTTACTTTGCTTCTCCATTTAGATAGCATAAAGAAATGTTTACGATTTTTTGGAGAGGGCGAGCTGGCGTCGCAGCGATACGGCGGG